AACAATCATGGTGTCTCCTTGTACAGCCATTAATTCTGCAGTTCCCGGTTCGGCATCTGTTCCGGTGTACCTTGGGGCAGCAGAAACAGGCTTTACCCGCTCTGATTACCTGCCACTTGTGCTTCGCGTCAAGGTTCAAGAATACCTGACATTGTGCTGGGTTGTGACTCGGGTCGCCGCAAGCTACGCACCTCAGTTGAACTTGCTGCTGAGCTGCTTCAGTATGGTTCGCGTTCGATCGTGTTTGTCCTCGTGCTGGTCCAGGCTCATCTGCCTCTCCCTTGTCCGGGTGGCGACTGTTGTGGAAATTAACTGCGACTGTTTTGTAAAACGATGGCGCTACCACTAATGATGCTGCCTCTGCTCAATGTCGTCCTCTACGCCGGCACACTCGAAATGGTACGTGCTCTGGTCTGCCGAAGAACATCTTCAAAGTGCTGATGACTTCTGGGACTAGGTTAGGAAGTAGGAGTTTATCTCTAACCGAGTCACGAGCTTTCTCTTTAATCGACATTCGTATATACCGCTGCTGTCGTACTGTGTTCAAATGTGCTGATAAATAACGGCCAGACTTCCCGAACATTCATTTTCTCTCCGTTGCCGGCAGTATCGATTAGTGTATCGACGTCTAGCGCTTGCCGTGCGGTTCAGGAGTATCCATTGCGTCTTCACGTGTTTGAGGCTGTACTGGTGATCGTTGCATACCGCTGCAACCCGCAAGACAGTAATCGCAGCTCCAATCCTTGCTCTCAATGTCGTCCTCTACGCCGGCACACTCGAAATGGTACCACCTTCCGCAAACGTCGCACTGTACCCAATTTTCTGACGCTATTTCGTTTTTGTTCTCGCAAATTCTGCACACTTCAATGTTCATGCTTCGCGTCGTCCGGCGTGCGTGCAATATGGCGTCTGCTTTTATTTTCGTGACTGCGTGCTTACTCGACCTAGCCTGTGGCTGCTAGGGACGCGACGCCTTACCTCTGCCTTTACCCGCAAGAGTTCTGGTTTTCCCCAAAAATGGCGTGCTCAACTCAACCTTGCCTTGGCTGCTAGGGACGCGACGCCTTCACCTTCGTTATTTCCTAAATTTGTCGCCTCCAGTCGGTCTAGCTGTTGTCTGCTAGCGACGCGACGCTGTTTTTCTGCCTTAATCCGCAGGTAACGAAGTTTTGTTTTTTTTAGAAATGTTTTTTTTAGGACGTTTTTTTGGGAATGTTGGGATCGGGGAGAGGTTGCTGCACGATTCTTTATCAAACATGAATTTGGTTGTTCTTTCCTTTATTTAACTCAAATCAAATGGCGCTCGCTAAAAAAACTTCATCGTTTACCCTCGCCTCGTTAGCTTCACCTAGCAATCGCAGACGCATCGTTCTTCGTTCATTTTTTCATATATCGATAAGCTAGCGTCTAGCATTTTTCAAAACTTATTCTAAACATTATTCAACATTAATTCTAACGATTTCATTTTTCAAATATAAACTTAATTCTATGACGGCGGTAACAACATATATAAACAACATTTAAATTTAATATATACCTCCACTAATTGTTTTCCATTTTACTACCTCAAAAAGTGCTTTTTGAAGATTTTATGGTCTTCAGGCCTCTTTTGAAACTGTTAAGGAGGTAAGGAGGTGTTAAGGAGGCTCGAAGCCATGCTAAATGTTCATGTGGGTGAGTTGGAAACTTTGGTTATAAATTAAATGACTTAACGAAGAAGGCTTGATTCACCATAGACCAGGAGGTGATTCGAACTTGTTGCCCTTCATAATTCGTCATTCCCCTTATTTGGGCCCATCATTCGTAAGGTAGAGCTGGAAAAAAATGTATTCTCAGTGAATCGATTATTTTCGATATTCAAAAAAAAACATTGATTAAATCGTTTAAATCATTGATAACAATTAATCTTATTTATTTAACAAACAAAACAATAATACTTTTCAATGAAATCAAAAATACAAGTTTCAACAAAAAAAAGAAAGGAACGCTAACTTCGGACGGAGCCAAAGTTGATATACCCTTGCAGTTAAAACTGGATATTGTAATATGTCTAGTCTTCCAAAGGATCCCCATCCAGTTTGTATCAAGTTAATTTGTTTATTGTTTTTGTTTGGATACTTTATTATTGATCTTTATTTTTGGAGCAGCCGTTGTTGCCGCTCCAAGTTCCCAAAAGGTTCTTCTCCTTTACAATATTTCTAGGAGTTGGGAAGTCAAGGTCTCTAGGCCAACAGCGTTTGGAAATTCGGTCACTAAAGGTTTATAACCCAGGCTTCAAGTTGCATAAACAAACATAAACACTGCAACAAAGTGCTACAGTGTGTGCCCTTTAAGTACTCTTGGTACAGTGGGTGGTCCATATATATATTTCTATATATGTGCATATAACAATATATATCGCAAACATCGGATATAGTTGGCCGATTCTCATAAGAATATAATAATAAACCCAATTAATTCCAATAAAACATCTAAAAAAAAGTCTCAAGCTTCTCCCTTCAAAAATACCAAAGTTGGTATTTCTACCAAAAACCATTTCCAATCGTTCAGTTATATGGCAGCTGTAGGATATAGTCGGCCGATCCTTATGAATTTTGGTAGGTTTGATCAACTGACCAAAATCTTTCTTCAAAAACACAAAAGTTGCGTCACTTCCGATCGTTCAGTTATATGGCAGCCTTAGGATATAGTCGGCCGATCGTTATGAAATTTGACATTTTGCCAAAAATAGCTCTCGTGTAAAATTTGAACTCTCAACTCTAAAAACACCAAAGTTATATCATTTTTGATCAATCAGTTATATGGCAGCTATAGAATATAGTCGGCCGATCCCGGACGTTCCGACTTATATACTAGATGCAAAGGAAAGGTGAAGAAAGAAAGGTGTGTGCAAAGTTTCAAGTCGATAGCTTTAAAACTGAGAGACTAGTTCGCATAGAAACAGACAGACTGACCGACGGACAAGAATATATATACTTTATAGGGTCGGAGATGACTCCTTCATTGCGTTGCACACTTTTGGACAAAATTATAATACCCTCTGCAAGGGTAAACAAATGTCTATCCCGAGGCGCTCTTCCAGCTAACCTGGCGAAATGTAGTCTGGGTATTGTCTTGCAAGCCCGACATTGAACTTCGATCTACATATGGTTTTTCATTTTGATTTTTAATATCACCGTATGTAAATATCATTCCGGGATCGAAGTACACCAATTTATAGGCGTATTTGGCATGTAATCCCAATTTTGTTGTGGGAGGTTCATCGAGAACCTACGTGAGACGAAGCTAATCCAAAGGTATTGTGGCAACTTTCAGCTCACTGGCCTCCTGGTTGCTATTATTAGACGGATGGTCTAGTTGGTTGGATAGTTATGTAAAGAACTCGTCGCTGCATTCGCTGATATTAGGAAACCAATAATTTTTCTCCGGAGTAAAATTGTCACTAAAAGAATTATAACCAGTTTTCATGTACAGAACCTAAATACTGGGATACGAGCAATGTTAGCCATGATTTGATACTAATATGGGCCAATCGGGATGGAAAAAACGTTGTCGAGGCCATCAAAAAGTTAGGCCTCGGTTGTTGCAACATGAAATGGGCGATCTGACAAAGCGTTGTGCCGCGTTTTATCATCCGAACGCATCATATACCTACAGTAGTCATCAACATAATATTGTTACAAACAAACACTATTTATTAATTAAACTTGCGGAGTTTTTTTTCTTGGATTAACATTTTTTCTAAGCAGTAACTTAATACTTAAAACTATTAATAAATAAACCCGCACAAAGGCAAAAAGCCAAAAAAAGATGGACAAACTACACAATTTTTGCCTATAAATTTAGCAAATTCTTTACTTTAAATATCGGGTTGGGGTAGTAGAGTTGTCTATCGATGCGTATCAAAATTTAAGACGTAACACGTAGCTTCAATGAAAGTGCTTCAATAAACAAATACTTTGCCTGGAGACTGTAATATCAATTGCAAGTGGGGCTATTGTCCCAATATGGTGAATCAAAATCATTTCCCTTAAAAATTTCTACCAATCCAAACGACTTTTGACAAATATTTAAAATAAACGGTTGGTAAAATTAAAGTGAACTATATAATTCATTCAGATTGAACGTATTATAGCCCACATCAGCCATAGACATATGTCCCACACTAGCCCCAATTTAGTGAATTAAAATAATTTCACATACAAATTTCTTCCAAACCAAACAACTTTTGACAAATGTTTGTAAAAAAAGAAATTGTAAGATTTAAATCAATTAATGAAAAAATACCTGGTATATCCTGGTAAAATTTTTCATTTTTCGGACATAGTGTCTTTACGCGCTCGCTAAGATTCGTCACATTGTGGACTGGCATCCCCATGACATATGACATAAGACCCATAACATATTTTTGATCAGGATTATGTGTAGAAAAAATGTAAGCATGTCCGTCCGTTTTTATTCTTTTTACTCATAAGCTTTAAAAGCTCCGGAGTTGAGATTTTGCACAGAGCACTGAATTGAGCACTAAAAGCAACTATCGGGCAACTATATATGTATATAATATAGATGCCACAGAAACGCTCAGGTCAACTTTCGTATTTTTTTAAGATATTGACTTATAAATAATTTAAAAACGAAAATAGCGATCTCGGATCTCATCAGAGATGCGCTCAATCTCTTACCCCACTCGGCCACACAAGCCTTGATGAGCACAGTGTTTTCATGATATAAACAATGTTTATTAACTTAATCTAAAATGCTTGTTTTTTCAAAAAATATTAAATTAAATTGACAACAAAAAAGAAACTACTACAATAATTTCTTTTTAAGCAGCTTCTAGGATCAAAACCCTTTTCGGAGGTTGCACACAAGCTTAATAAAACTCACAGAACCAAAAAACACTGCAAGGGTATACAAACTTCGGATTCGACTGAAGTTAGCTTTTTCCTCACGTTATCATTTATATTAGAACTCACAGAATTATATTCTCTTTTTTTCAGAGGAGTAGTTTTAATAAATTTGATGATCTTCAGAAGCAAAACCTACGGAAAGATAAAAAATTGTTCGACTTAGATAAAGTAAGCTTGTGAAACTTAATTATTGAAATTAATCATGAAAGATTAATGTCGGAATTAATTTTTTTATTTTATTTTATAAGAATTTAGCGATTGAGCAAAATGCTATGTGCCACCAATGCAGTAAGGCAGTATATAAAATGGAAGAAGTAATTCTACAAAAAAAAAATGAAACCATTATATTTCACAAAACATGCTTTCGTTGCCGAGATTGCTTAAAACAACTAAGGTAATTATTACGTAACCTCTCTAATTTTTGTACCCTTGCAGAGTGTATCATAATTTTAGTTTATTATAATTTTCTAAAAAGGGAAAAAATTTTCTTTATACCTATACAGTACAATTACACAGTGCAACAGTGATTTTCAACTTTTAAACAGACATGTTATTTTAAAACCATAGAAATCTTGATTTATTAAAAAACAAGAAAGGAAAGCTAACTTCGGGCAGAGCCGAATTTGATATACCTTTGCAGTTTAAACCGGATATATATCGCAAACATCGGATAAAATTGGCCAATCCTTATAAGAATATGATAATATATCCCAATTTATTATAATATAAAATCGAAAAAAAAGTCCCAAACTTCTATCTTCAAAAATACCAAAGTTGGTATTTCTACCAAAAAACATTTCCGATCGTTCAGTTAAATGGCAGAAGATATAGTCAGCCGGTCGTTATAAAATTTGGTAGGTCGGATTAACTGACCAAAAATAGAAGCTTTACTAAATTCCAGCTTTCTATCTTCAAAAACACGAAAGTTGGGTCATTTCCGATCGTTCAGTTATATGGCAGCTATAGGATATAGTTGGCCGATCCTTATGAAATTTGGCATGTCGTAATGTGCCAAAAATAGCTTTTGTGTCAAATTTGAACTCTCTAACTCTAAAAACACCAAAGTTATACCATTTCCGATCAATCAGTTATATGGCAGCTATAGGATATAGTGGGCCGATTCCGGTCGTTCCGACTTATATACTGCGTGCAAAGGAATGAAGGGTGTGTGCAAAGTTTCAAGTCGATAGCTTTAAAACTGAGAGACTAGTTCGCGTAGAAACGGACAGACAGACGGACAGACGGACATGCTCATATCAATTTGGGAGGTGATCCTGATCAAGAATATATATACTTTATAGGGTCGGAGATGTCTCCTTCACTGCGCTGCACACTTTTGGACAAAATTATAATTCTCTCTGCAAGGGTAAAAAAACCGGGGCGTTCTTGAGCTTCAAAATTCCGAAACAATGTGTAAAAGAAAGGAATAAGCGCAATGAAAGAGCACAATGTTACTTCGGAGCGTTATTTAATTTTGGTCCAAAGTTTGCAACGCAGTGAAGAAGAGATCTTAGACATATGTATCATATTATGTATAAAATGTATATATGTATAAGACATATATGTATTCTTGATCAGGATCACCTTCAGAGTTGATATGAACATGTCCGTCTGTTTCTACACGAACTAGTCTCTTAGCCCGAGATTAATCCGAGACGAGTAAATCTGCGACGGTATAGACAGCGACGGTCAAGAGTGGGTTATCAAGTGCGAATCATATTTCGTCTGCACTTGAGTATGTGCAGAGGGCACTTAGCGCTGAAACGAAGTCGCTGGTTATGTATGATTTCTGTTGGCATAACAACAAAGTGTTGCAGCCTTATTAATATGTATTTATATACATATGTACGCATGCTACATCTCCCTCCTTTTAAATAAAAAACGTAATTTATGTATTTATTTTAAGTATTAATGTTAATTATTTTTTTTGTGTTTTTTCTTTTTTTTTTTTTAATTATTGTTTTGTTAATTAATTTTTTTGTTAATATGTATGTGTAAATGTATATGCTTAAAACTATGTGTATTTAAAAATATATTCGTTAGTATTTTATTATAAACGTTGTTTCTTCTTTTTTTTTTATAAAAGAAAACAATATTATATTATATTATCGTTATCTTCTAACTTTTCTGGGGTTTCTGGGGTTATCTTCTAACTGTATAGGGTTGATAAACCTAAATAAGTTGGATCTAGCTTATGTCCTGTTTCATTCCTGTCCTGTATGTCCTGTATGACCTAGTCTCCCTACCGATATATCTACGTTTCTTATTTTTTTATCATATAATTCTTTATTATTTCTTTTATTTCCTTCTAACATAATTTTAACTCTTTTGTATTCTATTTCTAATATATTTTTACTTTCTTTAGCATTATCATCTATGTTATATAAAGGTTCTAGGTTATCCTTACTATTAAAATGTTTTAGGTTACTGTTTGTTTTACCGAAAACAAGTTCATATGGACAATAGTCATGTGCCATAGATGTGGTTGTGTTGAAACAATAAACGAAATATTGGATATGTCCCAATCAGTTTTATCAACCGATATATATGAACGTATGTATTCATTAAAAGTTTTGTGACTTCTTTCGACTGTTCCAACTGTCGGTGGTGTGCGGTTGATTTTATGTTATTTATTTGTAAATGCTTGCACAAGTCATTTATTATAGAATTTTTGTATTCTGTTCCCATGTCCGTAATGAACGTATTTTTTGGATCGTACTTTAGAATAAAAGTCTCAAAAATCGCCTTTGCTACTGTGTTAGCATTTTTGTTTGGAATTAAAATCGCAACTAGATATTTAGTCAGATCACAAATAAATGTTACTGCGTATTCATTTCCATTTTCAGACCTGGGTAGTGGACCAATGGTGTCTATTATAACCCTGTCGAAAGCATGTATTGGTGTATCAGTTATTGTTAGAGAAGTTTTTATTTCTCTCGTAACTTTTCATTTTTGGCATTTTGGAAATTTTTTCGTATGTATTCAGTAATATCTTGAGTCATACCTTTCCAATAATAATGTCTTTTGACCTTGGCTAAGGTTATTGAGTGACCTGTGTGCCTGTGTGACCTCCTTGTTTTGGATCGTAATGGCATATAGACAATAGAGCTTCTTTTTCTTTTATTGTTTTTATTTGGGTCACTTGGTTGAAAGGCGCCACTCTCAATGAAATTAATATTTTATTGTCCCTACTTTTAAAATTATCAATTGAAACGTATGCAAAGAAGGTCACTACTTTACGTACTTCGTCATACGTTGGGCTTTGAAGCTTTTTCTATAGATTGCCTTGGCAATTCTATTTTTTCTATTCCTGCGCAGAAATTTTGTCTACTTTAATATCTAGTAGTGACTTTCCTTACAGATCCATTTATTTGTTGTATCTGTTGAATGATGAATACCCTTCAGATATTTGGCTGTAAAATTATACTCCTCTAATTCAAGTCTCATATGCGTTGGCTTTGACCTTGGATTTACCATGGAGAACAAGTATGTTAATGGTCTGTGATCTGTTTTGACAGTGAAGTGTCTACCATAAATGTATGGACTGAAATAAGTTATGGCCCAATGAATTGCTGCCAATTCTTCTTCTGTTGTACTTTTATTACTTTTGCCCTTAGTAAACGAACTTGATGCATAAGCAACTGGAAGTTGGAGTCCATTTTTGTTTTTAGTTGAAACTGCTCCATATGCTTGTTTACTTGCAGCAGTTATTACGCAAAAGTCTTTGCTGAAATCTCGGTATTGTAATAAATTCGGATTTATTAGCGCTGACAATCAGCTGTCTATTCGAATTTGAAATTTTTTATACATAATCTTGTTATGTGACGAGCATAGTCGGCAAAATTTTTGAAAAACGGCTACAGTAGTTGCAGAATCCAACGAATCGTCTAGCACTTTCCGCATCATGTGGGACTGGGTAACTTTTAATGACGTCGTATTTTTTGTCATCAGGCAAGATTCCGTTATCCGTACATTTTTGTCACAAAAATGTCACTTCATGAATAATAAATGAATATTTTTCAGGATATAATTTAAGATGGTATTTCGTACATTTCTCAAAAACATCAATTAAGTTTTTGAGCATATGTGTTTCGGAACAACCAATGACTAATGAATCATCCATATAAAGGAAAGCTTGAGGAGGTTCTAATCCGTAAAATGCTATAGTCATCATTCTCTGGAAAGAATTTGGCGCTATTTTTAGGCAGCATGGCAATCGGTTTTTTCTAGTTCAATTTGATGGAATCCTGACATTAAGTCAAGGCATGAAAAGTATTTTGCTCTTCCTAGTTAATCAAAAATGTCATCAATTCTAGGGAGCGGGAATTTGTCCGACAACAGTTTTTTATTATTTTCTTGTTTTTACAGTTTTTATTATATTATTCCATTTTTTCTTGTCTGACCCTGGAAGAGATTTCTTCGGTACTAACAAAAGTGGGCTGTTATAAGGGGATACAGACGGTTCTACTATTTTATTGTCGATTAGTTTTTGTACTTGTACTTGTATCTCATTTATTTGACCTTGAGGGTTTATATAATTTTTTATTTAGACTGGTTCATTGTCCTTCAATCTTAGCTTTTGTTTGTAGAAGGTATTATTAGTGATGGATTCGGTTTCGAGTCAGAATACGTCACTAAACTGAGTGCATAAATTAATCAATTCGTTTTTGAATTGTGGTGGAAAAATTTTAGCTTTTTGAGACAAGACAGTTTTTTCTCTATTTTCTGGATTGTTTTGAACTATATCGTATTTCGAAAGTGGTTCATATGATAAACTTGTAATATCTACTACTTGATCGGCATTGGTCATATTCAGTAATCGGACAAATGCATTTTTGGTTATTGCCACTGCGTTTGCAACATAAATACTTTCTTTAATTTCCTGGTTTGGAATTAATACACTATCCTCATCTGATGATAGGTGAATTTTTCTGACTACTTGGGATATTGCTGGTAGAGCAATGGAATTAGTACCAGAATTGAATGTTATTGAAACATAAATTGGGAATTTTAGATTATTTGGTCTCATTATGAGCCAATCTTTATTTTGTTTTCATATCTAACTGGAAATTGAATTTCTTAATGAAGTCAATGCCTTATATTCCATCACAAGGTATTCTGAAGTGAACATCGTGTGGAATAATGTATTTACCTGTCTGTTCTCTGTTGAAATCAGTCCTTTGGACAAAATACTTGACCTATGCCTTAAATATTGATTTTCTTATTTATTTGGATATAATGAAAGATATCGGGGGTTTCCTTTGACATAGATATGTCTGCACCAGTATCTATTAAAATAAAAGTTTTTTATTTGTCTTCACATTTAAAAATTCTACAAATATATTTAAATTAAGATTAATGGTATGAACCGCATAGTTTTATACTGCTGAATAT